TCCAGCACCTCCCGATGCACTTTCTTGCTGGGTAGCATGGGGGACATCGGGACTATTTTCTTCTTTATTTCAGTCGAAGAGCACATGATGGCCGTGCTGCAATCCACCATGTCGATCGAACTGGTATTATCGAATTCTTCTGGGGGAGGCGGCAAATCAGTTGGAGGCGGTGGAAATTCCAAATCGGCCAACGTGGGGGGCGGCACCGACCGTGAAGGGCTGCCCCCTCGGAACGAACTTTGCGGCCCTTTGAAGGTGCGTAGACTCGATCGAATATTATCGGTATTATTTCTGGAAAAAAAACGAATATGACGCTTGAATCTATGAATCTTCCCTGGATTCGAAAGTGTTATTTACCGAGCTAAATTTCTATTTCTAGATAGTTTGGAAGTGGGAGAACTGGGAGGATGCGTGCCATGAAAGGCGGTAACTCCGCTTGAAGAGTTGCTTCGGATCATTTGAGGCTGCGCCCTAATATTGGTTCTGGGAGACAGTGATCTAAAGAACAAACTTTTTAGGAATTCAGCTGGGAAGCCATCGTTCAACCAGCTTACCGTGGAGTCGAGTCCGAATCTCCGGATACTTGAGCGACGATTTGAGCGGCAGCTCCGGATTCTTCGTTCGTTGACATGCCGCTCTGTCGAAGCGACTCCAAATAGGCCCCAATTCTTGCACCCTTCGGCAAAGTTCCATATCGGCTGATCGCTTTTCTTACATTTTGCACTTCCAGGGCAGCCACCTGCACCTAGAGCCGCATCAAGATAAAATCACACCAACGATTGTTCGAAAAGTCCCTACCGGCGGCGAATCTTTGGCTTTAGATTTCTTCCCGCGCTGCTCTAGGCCTCTGTTGCCCATTATTGGCACGCGCTCACGAAATTAGAAACGAATTACATTCAATGTTTTATGATTATTCAACGTGAAACGTTCAAAGAAAGATTGTTAAATCAGTCAGTTTTCCTATTTGATATTCAATCATAAATTAGAGAAGCTAAAAATGAGAATAAAATGTAAAATGGCACTGCAAAAATCAGCATAGAAAACCGCTGTTCCGTAAAAAATTAATCTGTGCACTTATTTTTATCAAAAAACACACAGAAAAATACTATAAAACTGCAACTCATTGTACGGAATTAGAGTAGTATTTGCCAGATAAATTGCTACTTTTAACTGATAAAATCACATTATAAATAGGATTATTGGAGCGACAATGTCAGTGATTCGAAAACTGCTAAGTGGAATCTTCACCAAACGAAACATAATGTCTGAAAAACACTTATCTGCAGGTGAGCTTAGATAAATCGACAAATCAATGCGATAAAGCTTTAAATAATATTTAATATTTGCATGAAATAATTGATAAGCCTGTATCAGAATATAAACAATAATAATGATGAAATATTCGTTAGGCGTAAAATGCAGTTTCAAATGTCCCCAAAAGTTAAAAAAAATTGTTGAATTTATAAACTTAGATTTTCGACGACGGAATTATGATATTACTGGGCAAATTATGCAACCGCACTTTCCTCTTAACTGAAAAGCACTTGACTTCAGTCTTCTTGATACAACTGCGAATAACTAGAAAAATGTGTAAAATATCGCATGGAACTTTTAGGCTCTGTGGAGCCTCCAAAAGTTGATGGACTTCTGCGAGTATACTCGCTAATAGTGTGTCCTTTTGCGAAAAGAGTCAGACTGGTGCTGAAAGCTAAGAACCTTCCACACGACATCGTCAACATCAACCTTCAAGACAAACCCGAATGGTACTTCAAAATCCACCCAAAAGGTATGAAAACATGGCGAAAAATTCAAGCATTTTTTACTTATTCTTCAATTTATTTTAAAATTTGATACTATTAATAAAATGATCACTCCCAGGACAAGTGCCAGCTTTATTTGATAACGGCAAAGTAATAATTGAAAGCCTGGATATTGCGGACTATTTGGACGAAAAATACCCCACGCAAAGTCCTCTCTACCCCAAGGATCCAGCTGCCAAAAAAAGGGATCAGGAGGTAATCAAGAATTTGTTTCCGGAACCCACTAGCCTGCTGAGCAAGGTGCAATACAGCAGCGAAACATACTCGGTGGATGCTGCTCTGGACCTTTTGCTCCCCGCAGCTCAGCCACTGGAAGACGAACTAGCCAAAAGAGGAACTCGCTTCTTCGGCGGAGAAAAACCTGGAATGGTAAGCCGATTTCACAACTCCTTTTAAAATGCAAATCTTTTAAATGATGGATTTCAGATTGACTTCATGTTGTGGCCATGGGCGGAACGTGCGCAAGCCCTTCCAGGTTTGCTTGCCGTCGATTCGTTGAACTTAAAAGACGATCAAATCCCCAAGCTACGAAAATGGGCAAGAACAATGATCGAAGTTCCAAYAATCAAGGAATTGCACATTCCCGTCTCCATAACARTCAAAGCGATTGAAGATCGGAAAGCCAATAGGCTTGACTRTGACAAGTTGTTCGAATAATRAGTTTGTTTCCTTCRTAAGAAACTAATTAAATGTTTAYCATGTTGAATAAACGGGTTAAATCGCACCTATAATGATACACTCGTCCTTCATATCGCAACGAAATGCTCCTCTGTCCAGGGCTGCTCTCCGACTCCCTCACTAGGAAGCTCCCATTTATTCCAGAGCTTAGCAGATATTCGGCAGCGTTTCTGGATATGGGCCCATGATACCAAGAGTGTTTTTCCAKCGAATTAACCGGCGTCACGTAGTTGGACGGAACCCATCCGATCAAATTAGACGACGAATGAGCCTCGCACCACTCGCCGCTCTTGTTATAGCTGAGTATTCTCACTTGTTCCCCTGAAAAAAAAAA